TTAAGACAGGGTCTCACTATGTAGTTGAGACTGACCTGGAACTCACTATGTAGCTCAGGCTGGTCTTGAACTCACAGCGATCCTCCTGCCTCAGCCTCCCGAGTGCTGGGATTACAGGCGTGCACCCCCACGCCCAGCCTTAGTTTTTGTTTTTTCAAAACAGGGTCTCTGTATGTGGTCCAGGCTGACCTTGAACTCATTGAATGGCCCAGGCTGGCCTCAAATTTGAAGTGATACTCCTGCCTCACTCTTCTGTGTGTTGGGACCTTTTATCTCAAAAGAAAGAACGAAAAAGAAAAAATAAAATCAATTTATCTTTATGCCTTGTTGAGATTTATTCATTAATACACCGATTAAGAATTTTGATTCATTGAATAGTCTTTTCCCCTCTAACTTGAACCCAGTAGTAGCTTTGGTTGCTTGTACTTAAATATTTGGCTCTTTTCCTAGGTAAGTGGAGGTATACTTCGAATATTTCCAGAAGGCAAAGCCCAGTTTGCTGACATTGAACCCAAATTTGATAGACTGCTGTTTTTCTGGTCTGACCGTCGCAACCCTCATGAAGTACAACCAGCATATGCCACAAGGTAGTATTCTTTTACGTAAACTTGGTTAAGGGCATGGTGGGACAAGGGATTGCAAGTTGTACTTGGTATACTAGGCATGTTCCTGTTGCTGGGATAAGATGCCAGACGCTCCCAATTCGAGGAGAGGTTTGTTTGGCTCACAGTTTCGGAGAGTTTAGTCCTTGTGTGGTTGGCTGGCTCCAAGGCAGAAACAGCATAGAGGAAGAGCATTGCAGAGAAAGCTGCCCACCCCATGGTGGCCAAAGAAGCAGAAAGAGAAGGGAGGAGCCAGGGACAAGAATGTACCCTTCCAGGTCACACCCACAGTGACCCAGCTCTAACCAGCCCCACCTCCTAACAGCACATTCATCTGTAAATCAGTGGATTCATCCACTCATGAGTATTGCAACTCCCAGGATCCAGTCACCTTCCCAAAGTCTCACCTCTGAACACATGAGATCGGAGGGGCATTATAGGGTCTAAACCAAACACCTTGTTACAAGTGTGGTAGGGTGGCAGATTTCAAAATGGACCAAAAGTTTCACAGTTGTCTTCATCTGAGCAATGGTTGCAGTCACAGTCAGGCCTGAAGGTCGAGATCCCCTTGGCACAGCTGCCCCCTCCCAGCCCTGGCCCCCGTGCTGTGCAACTGTTAGCTAAGATCCATTCCATGTATTTTACTTGGAGATAGAAAGGTAAAGAAGGAAAGGGATCTTTAAACGGTGGGTGGGGTGATAATACGGGAAAATGGATACACAGGAGAAAACTAAGGGGTAACCAGAAGCAGCAGTGAAGAGAAACAGAGGAAGGAAAAAGCGGACTAAGGGCTGCCAAGTGTGGAGGGAGTGTTGGGGAAATCACCATGTTCCTGGATTCAGCCTGTTTTGTTAGACTTCTCTACAAGATGTAATATTTTTAAACAGTTATGTTATTTCATTCTTTTGAATGTTTTTTTTTACCATTTATGATGACTTGAGATTAAGACGTTTGGACTGTTAAAACAAGTTATTGCAGACATTGTTGGGAACATAAATACTTGTCGGAAGCAGCCCTGTTTTCTAGTCACCAATTCTGTGCCCAAGAAAAGGCTTGGGGCGATGAGAGTGTACTGCAGCATCGACGGATGCATCTGGCTGAGGGGCCACGGAGGGCCCACAGGGACATGGGCTGAGCAGACTGCATGAGTTCGCCACTGGTGTCTGAGGCAGCCTGTGGGGACCAGGCTCTAGGGCTGTCCTCTCCGCCCTCCACCTTTTCCCTTCCTTCTAAGCCATACGCCGCCACCCTAAATACAAAGTGGACAGCAGGCTGAGCTCTCAAGACCCCCAAGTGCAAATCAGGGCAACAGTCACATTGTGCACTGGGCCATTCTGGGTTCTCTCTCTGTCCCTGCTGCTTCCCTCACTACTTCTGATCTAGAACCTGCTGCACAACCTTCCTTTTGATGGAGTCCGAGTTTGCCTCGGTTGTAGCCTTCTAGATAGAGATGTGCCGGACGTTTCGGGATAGTGAACTAAGGCCAGTGGTGAGGAGGCAGGGCTGTGGCGAAGAGAGGGGCCACAGGGCCAGGCCCAGTTGTCACTGCAGCCCTGGGCAAAGGGCGTAGGGTGGAGTCACAGCGAGAAGTGGGGGCAAGAAGGACTGGAAAGCGGGGTGGCTGAAGGCAGCTTTCGTGCATGCCCTCATGACTCGGGTTCAGAGGAGTCACTCTGTGTCTGACTCTTCTTACTGTGAACTGAACGTTTGTGGCCTGGAGATTAGAGATACAGTGTTACACACCTGAACCCCTTTCGCGTTAGTGAGAAAATAGAGGAGACTCGGTAGTAGGAAAGGTGGTGGCCCCCTGGGAAGGACAGTGTGGCAGTCAGGGCACCATCCAGGGACCTGTGCTCCTCAGTGCCCTTGACCCTTCGGCTTGCTGCATGGTTCACCTGAGATCACTCACTGACTCTCCATTTGGCCAGCATTGCTTTTTCCTGCGGACACTGACTGGAGTCCACAGGATACTTAATGAAGTGCTATGTTCTTCAGAGCCAGTGCCATTGACATGCTTGCCCTTTCAAGTTCTGGGCACTTTTTTTTTCCGGTTGTTGCATCAGGCATCACTGCTTTATGGGATCTAATAAACCAGGTCGCCTCACGGATTTGTGGAATAAGATGGTCCAGATAAGTGAAATGATTCAGATAAATGAAGCTTAGACAAACTAAGCATCAAAATAGTGTCATCATTGTCATAAAATCCTAAAAACTCCTTGGAAATTGCAGGATGCTGGCCTCCCCTTGCTGAAGAGCCCCAGGGCCATGCCTGCAGCTCTTACCTGTCTCTCCTCTTGTTACTGTGCTGTTGATAGGGTCCTTTACTCCTTTATTGCCCTTTTCTGGTGTTCTGGAGCCGCACGAGGAGGGCGCACAGGCCGAATAGGTGTTCAAAAGGCATAAGGACTGGGCCCCTGTGTAGCATCAGTTTGGGCCTCTCCCCAGCCTCTGCTGTGCCTGTTGCTCTGAGGCTGCGGGTGAGTGAGTTGTTCCTGGGCTCCTTTGCCCTCTGATATGTTTCCAGTCTCGGCATATTTGGGGCATTTGCAGTTTAACATACCATCGTGATACCAAGCCACTCTGTCCCCACTGTGACCGTTCTTATGCTATTCTAAATTTTCTTTTAGGTACGCAATAACTGTTTGGTATTTTGATGCAGATGAGCGAGCGAGAGCTAAAGTAAAATATCTAACAGGTAAACACCATTTGGGGCCAGGGCAGACTGGAACAAAGACACCCTGCCAACATGAGATGCTTTCAGAGAACCTAGGACAGTCCTTGTCCACATCAGGTCATTGCACATTTCATCAGATTCCTTAGTTACCTTGCTTTAGAAAAGGATTTTTTCCTAAGTCATTTTCACTATTACCTTTCATGGAGGAAACTGTCCCAAGATTAGCAAAGTTTAACGAAATACAAGCTGAACTGTTCTGTGATTGTCCCTTCCAACCACGGGCTCCTGGACTGACAGATAAACTGTGGCAACTGGCTGCCTGTCTCCCTGAGAAAGAAGTAAATGTCTTTTTCTAACCACACACCTTCCAAGGAACACATGGACTTGGAGAAATTCATAGAGATGACTTGAAATGCCCCAGGCAGTGCCTCAGATGAGCGAGCACCTTCAGTCCTCCGGTATCATAGGTTCATGCGACTCTGTGTCCCTCCGTTGATGGAACACTCACCTGGCTTTCCTTTAACCCTGCCTTATCTCTCTAGATGACTGCTCAGTGTTCATGTTACGGGTTCACTCTTACTTTCCTGAGCCATTGATAATCCAGTGTCAACCTTTTATAGAAATGCAGAAACTTACATACCTTTTCCGTGTATCGTCAGCCGTTTTCTGTGTACTTTCTGTGACACTGAACATTCTACTATATATATTAAAGTAGCCCCGATTGCTCTTACAATGAAAGCAGACAAAAATCATTATCTCTTTGTAGCGAGCCTAGTTCTGAGGACGGCACCTGTCAGAGGAGAAAGTCGAGGGTGGTGTGGGCAGGGCCCAAGGGCCAGGCTGTGATACTGTCCCCAGGGCTGGGAACAGTGGGAAGCAGTGGCTGTGTGGGGCTTAGCGAATGAATGTGTGCTTTTCCCTTGCAGGTGAAAAAGGTGTGAGGGTAGAACTCAATAAGCCTTCAGATTCGGTCAGTAAGGACGCCTAGCGTGGCCTGCGGCCCAGCAACACCCCTCACTGGACTGTGGGTGCTGCTTGTTAGCATGTGAACATGAAGGACTGGGGCAAAGAGGCGGAGAGGCCCGCTCGGCACTCCACCAGGAACAGAAGCGGCTTTCCCATGTCTCGTCGAGCAGAAGACCACTGCATGGCCAGCTGCGATCTGGGATTGCTGACAGGAAGAGGAGACGCTATCAAGGGAAAATGGTTTTTCTATCTGGACCTGAAATAAGTGCCCTACATAGAATTTTTTCATTCTTATATTTTGCCAGATCTGTCATCTAGCTCATTTCATCTCTCTCTTTTGTATATCAAATTTGAATTTGGGATAATTTTTGTATGATTAGGTACAATTTATCAAAACTGAATTGAAAAAATTACAGTATTATTCCTCAAAATAACATCAATCTATTTTTGTAAACCTCTTCGTACTATTAAATTTTGCCCTAAAAGACCTCTTACAATGATTGTTGCCAGTGACTGATGACTAATTTTCTTTCAACTTAAAGGAGCACTTTAATCACCAACTAAAAAGCCAGATTGTTTTGTTGTCTTGTCTTACACTAATTGAACTCTTCTTAAAGATTGCTGCTGTCATTTTTTGACATTGTTAATAATGAAACCTAATAGTAAAACAGTCGCCACTGACTGCTGAGTAACATGTTTTACAAGAAAAAATACACAGTAAGAAGGGTTTAATCTTTTAATTAAAAAAAAAAAAAAACTAAACTAAAGGGACTGGCAGTAAATGAACTTGAGGTTGCCCTCAGCATCACGTTCCTAAAATAAAGGGCTTTCTTCTGTCTTCAGATATCTCCTGTAGTTGTAGACATAATATCCTGATTGAAGACATTTCCTTTTGCTCATTGAAATACACTTCCAAATTTACTGCTGCACTTTTTTTTCCTTGGTCCTGGACTCTGTCTGATCTGCAGATCAGAACCTTATTTCTGCTAGAGTGTCCAAGGCAGATTGTAGAGGCAGCCGAACAGGTAGAGTTGTAGACTCATGTCCCTGGCTCCTCAGACAGCTGTGCAGTGTTCCCCTTACATGATGCGGCCTTCAGACCAGTGCTGAAAGATGTATGTTTAGCTTAGAGAAAGAAAAGTGTAAAACCAGATATTTTATTTTTGTTTTATGGATCTTCTTCTTTACTTTTTAGAAAAAGAGGGAGCATTACACAATCACACAGGCCTCCCAGACTTCTGATATTGAAAAAACAAATTGGAGCTGGGCGTGGTGATACCGGCCTATAATCTCAGCATTATGGGAGGACCGCAAGTTCAAGCCCAGCCTGGACAATTTAGCAATTCAGCAAGACCATGTCTCAAAATAAAGGGCTGGGAGGTAACTCAATGGGAGGACCCTGGGTTCTATCCCCAGTACTACAAAAAACAAACAAAACTGAATTGAGATGGACATCATTGTCTTTACTTCCTTAGGCTCTTCAGCAAGGCCCGGTGGTGGTATTCATATTTTGCATGAATTATGGATGTAAGACCTTGTACCCTTGGGTTTTCTGTCTCTGTCCTAATCTTCTTTGCCAAAATTGAGTATACATAGTTATTTCTGTATACTCCAACTTAGGACAGTTTCAGCATCTGTATAGTCTGTATTCAATTAGAGACCTTTTCTATGGAAAGCTCAGTAATTTTTATGAAAAGATTGCTACTGTTCATGTAAAACATGAAAAAAAATTGAGCCTGATAGTGGTCTTGGGGGGTAGATTTTCAGTACTGGGATCTCACTTGGGGGACTTGCAGGAGAAAGCTTAGTTGTCTTCCTTGCCCGTGTTCAGGTCTGCTCCGAGTCCTCTCTTTCTCTCCAGATGCTCAGCGACACCTTGCCAGTAAGTGCCTCTGCTGCCCGACCTGGGAGTGCAAGGCTTTGCCACCTGGTCTGCAGTGCGGTGTGCTGCATCAGGCCGCAGCTCAAAAGCACTGTCATTTTTAGGGTTTGTAGGAATCGTTTATGTTGGTGGGAGGTTTGTTTGATCGTCAGCATGTACAGCAACAGCCCTTTACTTTGGGAGTCCTTATGTCACCCAGATGTTTACCTCTGCAGGTGCACGAAGTATCACTCTGTACTGTCCCTGGTTGTGCTTGCCGACAGGTCTTACATTGTATATTTTTTGGAGAAGTTTATATATCTTCTTGGAAGTCATTATAAAAACATTCAGAAATCAGGACAGCCACTTCCGTAATATCCATTTGAAATTATTCATTTCATGTTAGTGGGACCGTTAACTTGTCACCAAGCAAGACTATTTAAAACTATTTGTGGCCTATATGTGTTAATCCTGGTTAAAGATGAAGCTTCATAATAATGTTTTTATTCAATACGTTAACCAGCTGTAAAACACAGAACTTTATCAATAGCAGGCAAAGAATTTCAAGACAGACTATAAAGTCATGTAATTTGAAAAGCAGTGTTTCCTTATGAAAGAGCTCTCAAGTTGCTTGTAAAGCTAATCTAATTAAAAAGATGTATAAATGTTCTTGAAAAATTATGGTTATTTCAGCTGTCGTTTGTTGTTTGTTTCTTAACTCATTATTATGCATTGGCTTTTATCTGGGCCCTTTGACCAGTTACTGTCCTATCACACACCTTTGGCTTAGTCCAGAACATGTGGTCTTACTTTTTGGAAATGGCAAAAGACGGGAGAGTGAGAACAGGTAAACACAGAGCAGGCAGCTTTAGCAACATTTGTGGACAACCCCACGTGGACTCTCAGCATTTAGCATCTTGTCCTTGTGGTAAAGTTGTTTAATTCTCAGAGCTATTGAGTCTGTATCACCTTCGTGCTGCAGAAGGAAAGGACACGGCACTTGTCTCTGGGCTCCCCCTCATCTATAAAAGCTTTGCTTTCATTTTTTCTTCTATTTTTTTTTCTTTTCCATTCCTTCCTTACTCTGTCCCCTCTCCCTAGTTCCCTGTCCCATTTGAACATTTTCTTCTTATTTCTAATATTTGTTACACATCTTGGTTCTTATTTACCAGTTCAGTTTCTTACACCAGAGGAATGATGCAATATTTAAATGTGTTTGATTTATTTCACTTATGAGAATGGTCTCAAGCTGCATCCATTTACCTAGAAATGTCTCAAGTTTATCTTTTATGGTAGAATAAAAAAAAACTCCCACAACTTCACTTATTCATTTGTTGATGGGCATTTGAGCTGTTTTTAAAGTTTAGATATTATAAACTGTGCTGCTGTAAACATGGGTGTGCATATATTGCTGTACTATGATGCTTTGCTTTTGGAAGATACCAAGAAGAGGAATAGCTGGGTCAAATGGAACCCTAGTTTTAGTTTGTTTGTTTTGGGCGGGGGTACTAGGGATCGAACTCAGGACCTTGTGCTTGCAAGGCAGACGTGGTGCCACTGAGATAAATCCCTGGCCCTAGTTTTAGTTTTTTAAGGAATCGCCGCACTGATTTATTTCCGCAGTGGTTGTACCAATCTACAATTGCACCAACAGTGAAGCAGAGTTCCTTTTTCCCCCACAGTCCCATCAGCATTTGTTAGTCGTTGATTTTATGAGAAAAGCCAATCTCAGCGTTGTTTTAATTTGCATCTCTTGAATGACCAGTGATGACCAACATTTTTTCATATATTTATTCCATTTCTACTACTTCATCTGAGAAGTATCTATTCATTTCAGATGCCCGAGTTCTTTATAAATTCTAGATAGTAGTCCTTTGAAGAACAGCTGGCAAAATTTTTTTCCGCTCTATGGGTTGTCTCTTCCCTTTGTTAGTGGTTTCTTTTGCTGTGCAAAAGCTTTTTAATAAGGTGAGATTCTATTTGTTGATTCTTTGTGATATTTCCTGTGTGATCAGTTTTGTTCATAAAGTTTTTGCCTACACCAGTGTCTTCAAGAGTTTTATCTAGTTTATCTTCTAGCAGACTTAGTGTTTCTGTTTTAATTAGATCTTTGACCCATTTCAATTTTAATTTACTGTATAGTGAAAGATGTGGGTATAGTTTTAATATTTGGCAAATGAAAAGCCAGTTTTTTCAGGCATTTTTTAAAGAAGCTATCTTTGTTCCAGTGAAGGTGTTTGGCTCCTTTGTCAAAGATAAGGTTGCACAGTATGTCTGGAATTGTTTCTCCATCTTCTGATATGTTCCATTGATCACTGAGTCTGCTTTATTACCAGAACCATGCTGCTTTTATCACAGTAGCTTTGTACTATAATTTTTAATGTCAATACACATGGCTTTATGAAACAACTTCTAAAATTTATATTTGTACTATAATTTCAAGTCAGAGATTGTGATGCCTCCTGTCTTGCCTTGCCTTTGTTGCCCAGAATTGCTTTTGCTATTCTAGGTCTCTTCTGGTTCCCAATGAATTTTAGGATTGGTATGTCTAGTTTGGTAAAGGATGCTATTGGTATTTTGATGGGGATTGCATTGAATCCCTATCAAATTTTGGAAGTATGACCTTTTTCACTAAATTGGTTCTTCCTACTGAAGAACAACTGATATCTTTCAATTTTCTGATATCCTCTTCAATCTTCTTTTTGAGAGTACTGCAGTTTTCCATGTAAAGGTCTTTTACTTCCTTTGGTAGATTGATTTCTTTTTGGATGTTATTGTGAAAGATGTTTCCCTAAATTCTCTCAGTGAGTTTGTTACTTGTGTACAGGAATCCTATTGATTTACTGACTTTGTATCCAGCTACACTATAGAATTTGGTATTAAATTTCGAAGTCTTGGTGGAGTTTTGGGGGTTTTCCATGTAGTATCATGTCATCCACAAATGATAATTTAACTTCTTCCTTTCCTGTCCATATACCTTTTATTTCTTTCTCATCTTAATTGGTCTGGCTAATGTTACCAGAACTATACTCACTAAGAATGGTGACAGTGGACAGCCTTATTTCTGATTTTAGAGTGAAACTTTTCAGTTTTTATGTTTAGTAAGATGTTAGCTGTTGGTTTGTCATAGGTGGCTTTTATCTGATTGAGATAAAGACTCAATTCCAATTTTCTGTAGGGTTTTGATCATGAATGGGTGTTGGGTCTTTGTCAAATACTTTTTCTGCATCTACTAAGATGATCATATAGGGACTTTTTTTTTCTTTTT